CTAAAGGTATAAAAACTTTAATCGGAAGGTAAGAACAACATAATTCAAAAATGGACAATTTAGAAACATGTAAGAATAAAGAAACTAAGGTAACAGTGTGGATGTTTATATATATATATATATACATATATATATATAATATAAAAAATACGATGGCTTTGCTCTTTTCGAACCAGCAATCTTTAATTAATTTTCTGCAATTCAGCATCTCCCCTTAGACCATTACCTTCTAGAACATTCGCACCTATTACATAACCTCGTCATATAAATGCTGCGTCATAAGTTTTTCTACATTTTTCTAGAAGCTACTCTGTTACATAACCTTTCATATAAATGCTGCGTCATAAGTTCTCTTACACAGATGCCTTCTCGCCTTCGTTCTGCTAACGCTTCCGCTATGCTCCTCTTTCTTTGTTAGAACGTTATTATGTATTAAAGTCAGTCGTATCTAATAGTTCAATTACTGAATAAGTTATTTGATTAACTCCATCTGGAAAAAGTCATCTGCTCTAAATTAAAATAAAGATATGCTTGTTATGTAAGATAAATTATATGAATCAGAATTATAATATAACTATAAACATTAATTCTTCCTCTCTATTCTAAAATCATAATAACTTCTCTGCATTGCGTCATTTCTAGATCAGTCTATGATGACGTAATAATTTGGAACTGAAACTGCCGTTGTAAATCAAAACTTTTCTCTTCGGATGCTTCCATCTTTCATAACTACGCACTTCAGCTTTTGCTCTCTACTGTGCTAAGATATAATTTCGCTGGCTTGCTTTCTATCTCAACAATATCAAAAATGTAAATCTTCTGTGGAAAGGCACGACTAGAGTGCCAAGTGATTGTGGCCACAAATATCAGTTGAAAATAAAAATGGAATTAAAACTGCCTCGACTGCCAAGTTCTTTAGATCAACGATCTACAGTGTTCCGTCTTTTCTTTTTGCTTTTATTATGATAATTATATATACATATATTTACATAATTTTGTTGCGGCCGATTGCAACCAAAATACGACGGGCACATCTGCATGTTATAGCAGTCCTATATATAAAATTTCAACATTCTGAAGCTACTCGTTGTTGAGTTATGCGAGATACGTACGCATAGATGCCACGAAAAATTCTCTTCAGAATACATTTTAATTAAGTTTCATAACTTTTTTTGGGAAAAAGAGTCCTTACGTACAGACGTCACGCAGAAACATGGTTAAATTGCATTCGATAGAGGTGTAACTGAATATTTTCGTTGAAATATGGTACCTGGAATATTTCATGGTTACAATACTTCGTACAAGGAACGAAAAGCGACGGTTTGAGTGTTATATAAAATCTGAAAGCTTTCAGAATATATTTTTTTTTAATTTTATGTATTTATTGATTTACTTTTTTGGCATAAGGAAGATGAAAAGCGCCGTGCAAACGATTATCTGTTATAAGCTTGGATTAATTATTTTATTACTAATACAAAACACAATATTTAAATTTATAATCTAACAAAATTTATACTTCAGTAATTTCATCAAGGTTGACTTACGAGGTATTTAGTATGCTTTTTTTCGTCTTCTATTCTATTTTTTTGTATTATCTTCTGCTTTTTCTTCAGCTATTATACAAATGCTTGAGAAACAATAGCAAATTGCAGAGTTATCTCAAACGGATCACTAAATTTCTCTAGGAGAAAGTACCGCATAAAGTCATCAATTGCATGTCGTCCACGACAAAGTCTTTCTTTCACAACAGTGATTTACCGCCATTTTTACGAGACAAAAATAAAATACCAAAAATAATATATATACATTTTACTTCTTAGAACTGATTACAGAGCTTTGGCTCTGTTCTGGCGCCTGTATTATCGATCAGTATAGTCTAGTATACACATTAGATAACCTTCGCAAAAATAATGAAGGTTACCATTAATAATCAGTCTCAGGAGACAAGTTATCAGTTCAAGCACAATAACGCCTGTCGAACGCGGCAATTGTGATTGTACCTCAGAAGAAATATGGTGGTGACAGGGCAGTGGCTTCTAAATCATTCCGCAGTATCATTTAAAAGAAATTTGAAATGAGTTCTTCAAGCAGGAATATTTATCCTCTTGTCGAACTTTACAGTTTAAATCCACTTTCATTTTTCAAATAGAAATCTGTTCATGAGTTTTTTACACTTGATATCCAGCTTAGAATTGATGATTAGACAATGTTACCGTATTGTTTACTTTAAAACCAGCCAGACCTCGAGAGTCTAGAGAATCGAATAAGCGAAAGCGTGAAACTTTAGGAATAAGAATAACAGAGTTAAAAACTACAATAAATTCCACTTAAAATTTTTATACACATTTTCAGATTTGCCGATAAGATTGAACATGCTTCAAACGAAATTAAATAACATTAAAAAAAGTTTAAACAAAGGTGGTTGAATTGAAATATGATTCAAAATTTGCACAACAATGAGCAGCTAATTTTATAAAGCAAATCAACTCATGAAGTCATTTTCAGTGTACACAATGATCCTCGCAAAAACATTGTTAAAAATTTTTAAACAATAATGCACAAATAATACATGTGCACAGTACTTTTGTAGAGACATTAAGTACTTTTGGAAGCAGGCAAAATGAAAAATTAGCAAACACCTTCTCCGGGAATCGAACCACGGACCTCTGAGATACCGGCCCAGTGAGCAGAACCACTACACCACAAATGCACGTTAGGAAAGTGGGAGAAATACCTTATATACTCCCCTTTTAAAGGGCCACTGGGATTTTTAGAGGACTCAATAGCCAAATCCTGGGTGTGGAGTGTCATCATCCACAACCACTTTAGCTCGGGCGCCACCGTAGAGACATTAGGATTTTTGGAAGACGGAGAGATGAAACATTAGCAATGCCTTCACCGGGAATCGAACCACAGACCTCTGAAATACCGGCCCAGCGTGCAGAACCACTGCACCGCGAAGGCACGCTAGGAAATTGGGAGAAATACCTTATACTTTAAACTAAATGCAGACTTTGTAACATGAATCTCGCCCTTGTTTTAACTAAATAATACATTGCGACCCAATCAGCGAACATTCACTTTTCCCCGCAATTAGGGGAAAATGTGATGCTTTGACGTTACGGGAAGAAGGAGGGAAAATGAGAATTCCTTTGACCTTGATCAGCTGACTGCGTCCACGGCACACCTATTCGCCTTTTCTAATATAAGATCACCAATATCAGTAAACATAATAAATTCTGGTGATAATCTGGCTTAGACATATGTATTAAGAATGGCGAACGTCTGTCTTCTTAGCCTATGTGGTCAATAATAATATGTTTTCGGTTTCTAATTCACTATTTATTATATGTTTTATTTAGTTAAAACATTAATACTATCTCATATATGAATACGTGCGTAAAGGCTTTAAAACGTTATAATTGAAATATTATAAATATGATTACATGCGTCTACGTTTAGATTCCAGATAACCTTAAGTTTTCATGTCTCTGCTAAAACTCTTCTCAAGGTATTTCATGCACTTAATTCTAAGACAGTAACACAGATATGTATGCTGTAAAATAGTTATTAAATCAACATGATTTAATTAAAACTTTAAGAAACTAGAACCTTCGCAGTGCAATAGGAAAACGATGCAGTACATTAATGTAAGTGTGAAGTACATTGGGAAATATATTCTTCATTGGTTTCCTAAAATGCCTCAGTTAAGCAGTAGTTACATAAAGTGCCCTTTTATTGTCTCACTTTCTACTTAGATAATTGCATATCTCATAATTATCATCTGCTCTTTAAAGGTAAGGCCACGGAAGAATGATATCCGCTGCTTTAAGTGAAAACAGATGATTCTTAATGCACTGTGAACAAGACTAGCAAATTTTCGCTTCCATTTAACAGTCTGTGAAAACAAAACTTCAAATAATTTTGAGATGTTCTTAGAATAAAGGAGAAATACTTTAGAGAAACTTAATTAAACCCGGTGTAATAACATTTCTTAAAGATTAAATATCTTTTTAATTTATGGCCTTAAATTTCATGAAATTATCTAAAACAGAAATCTTCTTTAATATTATGTAATACATAAGATACTAGGTACCAGATTCTTATGACAAACAACATTTCTAGTTCTTGCTCGTTTCGTTAAATTTAGAATAGGAAAATGTAAGTATTGTAGGTACAGTGAAACCTCGAGATACGAGTTGGATGCTGAAACCTCGAGATAATTCGTTTCAGCATTGAGCTCGTATAGCGAATTTCTCGTATCTAGAAACAAATTTCCTCATTAAATATAATAGAAATCCAGTTAATCCGTTCCACAGCCACAAAAATATCCACATAAAAATCACATTTTCTAATAAATAACACCGGTAAATAATATAACCGTAGTGTGCTTTTATGATAGAGGCTTCCGACAGCTTCTAAACATCTTCTAGGAGTTTTGGACGGTACTTGGAAGTAACGATAACTCCTTTGGTTACATCAAGTTTCTTAATTTCTTCCTGCTTCTTAACAATAGTGCAGATCGTCGATGTCGAAAGGTAATTCTTCGCCAATTCCGACACCACGCTTAAGTTTATTTATGATTTCATTCTTAATTTCAACAGCCATGACTTCCTTATTTTTCTTTGCAGCACTATGCACCGTCTTGTAACAACAATCTTCTTGGAAAGCATCGTGAAATAATTGTTTTCACGTTAAATGTAATAAACAATTCACTCACAAGCGCACAAACACGTAGATCAGAGAACACCGAGTGATCTGACGAGGAGATTTCTCGAGTCGAGCCGGTTCGGGAAATGGCGCCACGCATGCCAACAGCCTGGCTCGTTGCTCGAGTCAATGCTCGTACTTTCGCTCATACTTTCCTCGTATCTCGAATTTCTCGTATATAGAGGTGCTCATATCTCGAAGTTTCACTGTGTATGTTATCCTTAAATATCTGTTTTTTTTTTTTTTAATTTAATACATTCATCAGACATTTAAATATTCTTTGCACTTACCAACCACGTCCAAATAGCCTATCTGACTCAGCATTGGGACTGTATTTACTTGGCACATATACCCGCCGCGGTCTGCTTCTTGCACGTTGTTGATGTGTAAAACCCAGTTTCTGTTGTCGCTGTGGCTTAAGGTGATCCTATAGTTACGAGATATCACATGACGATGGATTGTAAGGATAGTCTTCGTCTCAACTCGCAACCACGCCACCTGATGGGTAACAATGCAATAATCATTAATATATACAAAACTAAACTATATTAATGATACACATATACATATATACATAAAGGCTTCAAAGATAAATTGAAATTGTCATCATAATTTGCCAAAACTGTACACATGCAGAACAAAGCTCATTTTTATGCGTTGCTATGGAAACAATTTCAATTTGGAAGTCTTAGGAAGTACATCGTTACAATTTCTAAGACTAAAGTGAAACAAAATGGTGGGATAATTCGAAATTCTGAAGATTGGAGTACCTAGAATAGAAGGAATTTTGTTGTTTACAACGACAGTCAAATAGTGTCAGCATTCCAGACATTCTCGTTGTGTCAAAGATTTAATAGATTCTGATCACAAACCTAAAGCCCATCGACATCAGTCACATAAAATATTGTGGCTGAATGTAATCATATGAATCTTAATGAATCTTAATAAAAGCAGAGTGTGATATACTGAGAAGCTGAAGCTGAAGTTGATGCGTGGATGGACAAAAGTTTCCTAACGATGAATAGGGTTAAACAGTAAGTGGCTTCATGTCTGAAAAAATAAAATTTTCAAAGAGATTAGAGTGCTTAATTGAAAAATTAGACAAGTGCTCACAAAAATTTTGATGAAAAAATTCGAGACGGGTCCTTTTTGTATTGCAATAGAGTTATGACACAGTAGAATTTGCTTTACCTACCATAATCAAGTGCACACCTACCACGACCAAATGTAGCTTACCATTTAAGCCCGTCTCGTATTTATAAACCAAAATAACAACATTACATTTACAATGTTTCATGAAGGGAAACAATTACTAACAGCAAAGAAACATCAGTATATACAAAAGTAAAGACATCATATTTCATATGAAATCAAAGTAAACTGTGAATATACAATATCAATACTGAGAAATGGTACCATGAAGGAAAAATATGCATAAAATTAAGTATTAAAAAGATATTTAAACTTAAATAAAATAATGATTTTTTAAAGAATATTAGTTCGTTTACTATTATTAATCAGTGTAATATGTTTAAAATGCAACAAATAAAATCTTCAAAAGTTGCTTTTTGCGATAGATGAATTAGAATCTGCTATAAACAGCGCAGTTTTAGTTCTGTATTAGAATAAGATTTAGAACTAAATTTAAAGATCTCATGTGGACACCACATGATTTCCTCGTACAGCCTATTAATAATTATGCACATTTTCTACTGCATGTTATTTAAACTTATTCTAACTTATCCGATTCCTCAAGGTAAGCTCGAAATTGCAAATTAATTATTCCGAAAATTTTTTGTCGTACGGGCGTCAAACTTCTTATAATTTTATTTTTCTGTAACGTTTATAAAACTTTCCCAAATATAAGTATACCGAGAGACAGCATTAACAGTTAAATTTCATTATTTGTCCAAAATAAATTTCTTTTGAAATTACCAGAACATGAATATTTTTGTCATTTAAAGCAATTCTGTAAGTGGAAGTATATGACTACGACCAACGATTCTGAAAATAATATCCTCCTAAGGACTTTTAAGTCGAGCCAGGGGAGTGATATATACCCATATATATATATATAATATATAATTATCAAGCAAACAGTAATAAAATTTTTGAAAAAACCAATTTGGTCAAGAAAAATCTGCGCAATATGCTTGCAAAAATAATTAAAAATAAATTTTAGAAGCTCGCCTAAAAGGTACCAGGTCAAGCGGGAAAAATGGTTAAAATCAGCCCAATTCGCATTACAGGGCTTTTCAAGGGGAAATCATTATTGAAGTTCGAATCAAGCTACCCATACGCGTTTCGCCGAAACAGGACATGAAAATTTCGCTTAAACATTTTTTTTTTTATATATATATATATATATATAATATATATATACACGATATTTACACTGTGTTTGCATATATATCCATATATATATGTGTATAGAGACACACATTTGATACTGGCGACTGCAACAAAAATGAGAGAGGCATAACTAGATGTTATAGCAGTCCCATGTACAAAATTTCAACTTTACGTACATACGTACAGGAGTCACAGAAAATTCCATTTTACAATCCGTTTTGGAAAAAAAAAAAAAGAGTCCTTTATTCTGTCGGCACTCAGAGACGTCACACGTATAAGTAGTTGATATTATGTCAGGGACAAATTGGATGTTTCCGTTGATATATGATACCCGAAAGTTTTCGAGAGTACAATACCTCTTTTCGTTTGTACAAGGAAGTAAAAAATAATCTCAAAGAAAAAAATCCCTTGCAGGTAGTCCTGCCCGAATCGAAATTTCTCACTTCGTCTTAAAATAAATAGAAACAATCAATAATCTCAAATTCATGGTAAAATAGTAAATAAAATTTCCCAGAAGGGTTATTAAAATAGCATTAACAAAATCTAAAACAATGGAAAAAAGACAATGAGAGTGTTTACGCAGTCTATAATACGAAGAGATTTGTTAAAATCAGATGATATAGGAATTATGTCGAGTTGCATATAAAATAAAATCCTTTTTGTGATGCAAACTGTTTTCTTTACTGAAAATTATAAAATGTGTTCCAGTCGGGAAATATTACTTAGACATTTTAAAGTGAAAATAAGGAAAAGAAAGAAAGATGGAGACGGTAACTTTCAGTACAACATTGCATTATATATGAAGTGAATAACTGAAACAGCCCTATTTATTACTAAAGCCAAAAGAGGAGAAAAGCTTATTTATATGTCTACTTTTATACACATATAGGATCAATACTGTTAAGTTATTGATTGCATTTGGTCTAATTTAATTATGTTAAACGTCTTGGCTTTCAATAAGCCAAGACAGCATTAAAAGTTATTACAGTTATTAACATCTTTTTTTCGAAAATTTACCTTTAAAAAATGTTTTTCACAGTAAACATTTTACTTTAATTATAAGCTTTTTGCCATCCAGACAATATAGTAGGGGATACTGCAAGTAACCCGCGTTCGGATCTCGTAGAAGAAGGCATGGATGTAAAATTGTCGATCCTTTCACAGTAGGTAACAGTGACTGCCTATTAGGTGCCTCCATAAATAAAATGACCACCGCTAGCTATCAGTCCGTTACAGAGTCTCGATTTAGTGTATGCTTCCCAAAAATGTGAGACTCTACAAATAAATTAACAAAAACATCGCATGCTTATATGAGCTTTGTCCGTAAAGGACTATTATTTTCGTTTTACGATTTTGCGTTGCATCGCT